CACGTGTGACCCACAAAATGGGGTCTCACGTGCAGGGGAGTGTTGAAACCAATTGTGTCCCACATCGGAGAGAGGGAAGGAGAAAGAGTACTTTAAATAGAATTACCCCACTCCAACTAATACCGAGGCCTTTTGTGATAAAACCCCACACCTGAGGATTGTGCAGGTGGTAAAGTGGGGACAGTATCGGTGTTGTTGGAATGGGCCCTCGGCCCGTTTAACCTGGAAAATTTGACAAAAGGCACATGGTAGGATGGCTTGGTGCTGCCAATCAAGCTATATACTAAATAGCATCTCTTCTTATTCAGGCCCCATGTTAAAGTTTTCATAGCACCACACATTCTTGTTTGTACAGCATTTAAAATAAATAAAAAATCTAATTATGACACAAGTTGGTTCCTTATCAAGCATGCATAATTTTATTGGATTGTTAATTCACGTTTGGCTGTTCCCTCTTATCTAGAAAGGTAGGGAATCCTGTTTCTAAACAAGGATAGAATTTCTGCACACCCTTTCGACTATATATATACACACATGATCAGGCACATCATCGGCAATTCAAGTCTTCACCTTCCCAAGAATCAAGGCTTTATCTGTTTTCCTAGTCCTTTAAATTCTGTTTCTTGTTCTTCATCCTCTTGAGAATATAAAAGTCATGGGTTTCCGGTTGCCTGGAATTGTTAATGCCAAGAGAAGTCTCATTCGATCTCTATCTAGTTCAAGCCGGACAGCTGAATCAAAGACCTTGGATATCCCAAAAGGCTATTTTGCAGTCTATGTTGGAAAGAGCCAGAAGAAGCGGTTTGTGATTCCAGTATCATATTTGAATGAACCTTTGTTTCTGGATTTGCTGAGTCAAGCTGAAGAAGAATTTGGATATGATCATCCCATGGGTGCTATCACAATCCCCTGCAGTGAAGACACTTTCCTTCATCTCACTTCCTGCTTAAGTGTGTGAATGTAAGCAAATGGATCAAAACCATCCAAACCATCCTCATTGAAGAACTCACTGAGTCGAGCTGAAGAAGAAAATTTGGATATGATCATATCCAAAGCATCCTCATTTCAGAACTCATCACTGAGTTAGGATGAAGAAGAGGCCAGAGTTGATCATTCATTGAATCGACTCAAACCTTTTGCAATCCTAAAGCTGCTTGGATATGAGCAGAAACGTAGAAATTTTGAAGCATACAAATGATGATATCATGTTTTGAACTTAAAGGCAGTCAAATTCTGTCTTTTAACCCTATGTAATCTTCTTGGTTGCTCTCCAGGAATATATGGTGACATATAATATACTTGAAATCCTTATCCATCCACGTCTTATACTTAATTACTTTGTTATCTTCTTGTAGCTCTGTTATATAGTGAATCACCAAATGGAAGCAGATTTGCACAAGAATTGAAGTATATAATTCGTTTGTTTTATAAGTAGTGGCTCAGAATGAATTCTTCTGCGTATTTCCCTATAAGATATCTGCAGATAAAGTCATATTTCTGACTTTTAACCCTTTTTATATTTGTGTCTTCGGTTTTTTTATTTATGGAGTACATTCTTGTAACTCAAAAGTTGCGACACAAAAATTTCTTTCATGAGTCTTTCATTAACTTCTTAAATATACATAGTGATGATGCCTTTCCATGCCTCTGTGGCCTTTGAGAGCAGTGGAAAATTTTGATTTCGAACTCCGGATAGAGGAAAATCAATATATCTTGCCAAGAACATATTGATTGTAGGACAAGTTGAAGAGCAATTCCTACTTCTTACACAGATGAGACTGGTTGCAGAACAAATAAAAATCTCCTAAAATAATGTTTTTTTTTTTTTTTTTTTTTTTTTTTTTTTTTTTTTTTTTTTTTTTTTTTCATTTTTCGTCAATAATAGATAGATTGATTAAAGTCTAATGGGAACATTAGTATCAGAAGCTAAAATATTAAACAACCAGTCCGGCATCCCTATTCCAGTGATCGGAACCGTTGCATCGAGTAACATAAGATGCAACTGCATGTGCAGCGTTGTTGCACCCTCGGCTCGAACTTGAACACGATATTAGTCAGTTGAGAGCTGAGGCAATTGATATCATGGATGACACCCTCCACTGAAGCATCTGTGATCTCACCAGTTTGGAGCATGTCAATTAACACCTTTGAGTTAGATTCCACCTCTACCCGAATGTACCCATTTCAACACAACTTAAACATTGCTCCTTGCACTGCCTCTCTGCCTCTGTCACAAGACTAGAGATGCATGGAAAGCCGCCCACACCACCTGCAGCAATAAACCAGCCCACAGATGATCTAGCCACCCATCCATAGCCACCCTGAGACATGGTCGCCGACCAAGCGCCATCACATTTCACTTTAATGAATCGATGCGCTGGCTTATTCCAAGATTGAGCTCCATTCTACGTCCCATCTCCCATTACCGAAATCTCAAGCAGCAAAACGGAAGACAACCATTTCGCTTCCATGTATTCTCTCCATTGGCTTAGTTTTTATTTTTTGGATTCATAAAAATCCAGTTACTTGATATGCAGGCCTAGTTTGTTTAGGCAAGACAAAATGGAAATAATTTATAATATACTGGCCCCCTAGTTTACCAGGCTTTTGTTAGGTTAGTACATCAATTTGCTGGACAAACCCTTTTGAAGAGTACACATATGTCTGCCATATTGTGTAATTTTAACTTTGAAGGGGGTTAATACAAACAAACCTTACTTCTCTCTGTTGTATTTTACCCCTTCATATTGCTTAAGTTTTCTTAATATGGTGTCATAAACAATAAAATAAATAAATAAAATGGATGGTAAAAAAAGTGGCAGAAAAGAAAGTTACCAAGATAATGGACTGTAAATCATTTCAGAATTGAAAGAGAGAAATTTTTCATTCAATGTTGCTAATTCTAGAATTGATCATCATGTACAGCCAACTATTTCTATTTGCAACTTTCTCAACTAGTCATAAAATTTGGATCCCTTTCTTCTTATGCTAAAAAGCATAGATGCAAGAGAATGTATAAGTCTTTACAAAATTGTTCAGATAATTTATATGTGAACCATGAATCACAAGCCATACAACCCAGAAGTGAGATCAACGAAGATTTCTTCTCTGCAAGGAATTGTGAGTCCACCCATTGGATGGTCAAATCCAAATTCTTCCTCTGCCTTACTTAACAACTCTTGAAATGAAGGCTGACTCAAGAATGAAATTGGAACCATGTATCTCCTTTTTTCACTCTCTCCAACATACACTACCAAGAAGCCTTTTGGAACACCTACTGAAGATGTTGAAGCTGCTCGGTTTGCAAACAAACTCCCCCGGCAGAGGATCTGCTTTGCTTGCATAAAACTAGGCAATCTGATAGCCATGTTTAAAAGTTCAAGTTATCACTTGAGAATGAGTTGAAGTTAACAAATGACTTGGAGAACAGATTTTGGAAAGTTTGTGGTTTTCTTGATTTTTTTTATGAGATAATATATCTGTCATATATATGGATGAAACGGTGTATAGGAAAATATTGAATGTGGAGACAACTGTGTGGAAGCAAATAGGTTGGGGTTGGCAAGTGACATAAGCGTTTGAAAGATCACATGCCTCTGTCTTCCAAGTTCCATCTCAATCTCAACAACTTGGTAGCTATATATTGTTTGAATCTGTATATTTGTTGGCGAACATTATGCCCCCAACCATTTCTATGACAACCTACAAACATGGATGCCCACTTGAAGTTTTAGAGATTTGTTGATACGAAAAGATACTCGTTGATTTGTGGATGAGATTCAGATAAATATGTTTATAGTTTCTTGACAGCAACAAATTAGCACTCACGAGACCATATTAGTCTCGATACAATATGCTTTTTAGATATGTACTCATTACGTACTGCGTGCTAAAAAAGTATCAATTCTTCAACCAAATGAAAGACTTCTCTTGCTTGTTGAGTCTGAAGATCATAGATGAAAGGACAAAGCCACATGCTAGGGTGGTTTACCAAACTATAGAGCATCCGAGGGTCCATGTAAATTCTCATAGCACCACAAATTCTTGTCTTTTGAAGCAGCATTTATAAAAAGATGAAAAAGAAAGCATAGAGCATCCCAGGGTCCATGTAAATTCTCATAGCACCACAAATTCTTGTCTTTTGAAGCAGCATTTATAAAAAGATGAAAAAGAAAGAGACTACTAATTTATCACACAACCTAACAAGTTTTTGTTGTAGGGCATACCATATGCAGTACTATTAACCAGAGGAGTATCCAACTCAATGAATTCATTTTTCAAGCACATGGTGGTCCCTTTTGTTGTCTGTTAACCAGAGGAGCTAGCTAGGTAGGGAATCCTGTTTCTACACAAGGATAGAGTTTGATCATTTTGATGAGATATCTCTTGTGGAAGGGTTACATGAGCACAAAAACAAACCCATGTGATTTGGTACAAGCTAGTGGCCCTCATTGATTCTCCTCTCAGTGCCCCTTCAGTACCAATCATTTCATGTACCTGATGATTTTCTGCATACCTTTCATCTATATATATATACTATGCTTGGGTTCATCATGAGCAACTCAAGTCTTATCCTTCCCACGCACCGAAGCTCTCTCTGTTTTTTCCAAGTCCTTGCCAATCTTTTTCTTGTTGTTTTGTCCTCTTGAGAATACTAAATCATGGGTTTCCGGTTGCCTGGAATTGTTAACGCCAAGAGAAGTCTCATTCGATCTCTATCTAGTTCAAGTCAGACAGCTGATTCGAAGACCTTAGATATCCCAAAAGGCTATTTTGCAGTCTATGTTGGGGAGAGCCAAAAGAAGCGGTTTTTGATTCCAATATCATATTTGAATGAGCCCTTGTTCCTGGATTTGCTGAGTCAAGCTGAAGAAGAATTTGGATATGATCATCCCATGGGTG